ACATCCGGGTGTATAATATATGAACTCGATCATTATTTTATGGGACGGAGGAAGTATATTATATATAATGGCATACTAATGCTTTAGGTTTTATTGTCTCCATAAAGTTTATTCAAATTACAAAATTATTGTACACAATACTACGTATATATTTAATGGATTGAAATAATATGCAAATAAAATTAAAAATCTACACGGGCACTCACCAGCACAGGAGAGGGATGTAGGGCGGGACTATGAGTAAAGATGTTTTTACTTTAACTTCTCTTATTCTCTCAGTCCCAAACCAGATCAGATCATACCAGACCAGACCAGACATGAACAATTATAAAATACACAGAGACCAGACATTGCCAGATCAGAGCAAACTAGTTCAGAACAGAAAATTCTAGTCCAAGTAAAAATATTATAATAGGGTAAATGCAGGGGACTTTTAGGCATGAGGTATAGGGATGGTAGTGAACTCTGCTTCGAACTCGCCCATGTTATTCCCAACCCTGATAGGAATGAAAATGATTTCTCTATTGATGGACAAGAAAGACAAATCATTTATGCACATCGAGGAAGCCTATTCTTGCGAATACGGAGTATAAAATATAAAGACACTGCTTTAGATATGATGTTTTGCACATTTGCAGTTCCATCAAACGAAGGTCAATTATGCTTCTGAAATTTGTTTTTTTTCATTTGAAATGACAAGGCACATACCTTGTAGTTTGGTCTCATTCCCCGTCATTTGCAGATTTATTTTCAATTTTGCTACAGGTACCCCATACTTACCCCATTTCCTACCCCATTATAAATACTCCCTTTTTTACCATCCTTTTTACCCCTTTCCAAAAATACCTTTCTCTCACCTCTCCCACATCTCCCCACCCACTCCTCAACTTTCCGCCAAACCCCTCCTTCGAAATTGCTACAGTGCTCAACCCATCCTCTCACCTTCTTCTTTCTTTCATCTTCTTGGATGGATATCATGGGGAATGAAGTATCTGAGTTTAGTGATGAGGTTCTTTTGGATGGCTTGACATGGGGAGATGAAGGTGACAAGCTTGATGACGTGGGTGACGGTGGAAATACGCCATCTCCGGTCGTTGTTGAAGTAGCGATGACTTCAAGGGAAGAAGATGATGGAGGTGTGGAGGTTGAAGTCTTGGAGAAGGGTATGTTGTTTTTCGTCATTTGTTTGTATTTTGTTTGGTGGACTGACAATTTGGAACTGCAGTGTCTGTCTAGCCTAAAGTGAAAGCGGTTTCATACTTGTTTGAAGTGAACGTGGTTTATAGTTGTTAGAGTCGTACATAAAATTTGTGTGTGGCCAAACAACTTTAAATGTTTACAAATGTATGTGTTTTTGTTTGGAAACATGGTTGTATTGGTAATGTAGTTTCTGTATAATTGTGTGTGATTTTTTTGGAAACATGGCTGTATTGGTATTGTGAAGTGAACATGTATATTTTTCTAAATTAACAGATGAAGAGGAAGAACACATTTGTATTCAAGTCCCCGTTGTTGGTATGGAGTTCCTTAGTAAAGATGCAGTGTATGATTTCTACAAAGAGTACGGGAGAAGAGTAGGGTTTCGTGTTAGAATAAGGAATTCTAGGAAAGATGTGGATGGAACGACATCTATAATTCCATTAGAGTGCGGGCGTGCTGGAAAAAGACAAAGTCGTGCACAAAATGTTTTGAAGCCTCTACCTTCAATGCAAGTTGGTTGCTTGGCCAAAATAAGAGCACGTATAAATTATGCCGGAGGTTGGGTGATTTCAATGACTTCTTTAGATCATAATCATCCTATGAGTCCTACGAAGTCTAGACTATTTCGGTGTAATAGGAGGTTGACACGAAAAGCTATGAGGCAAATTGCAATCAATGATGTCGCCGGTATACCACTTAATAAGAGTTTCAACTCCGTGGTTGTACAAGCCGGTGGATATGATCAACTTCCTTTCATTGAAATTTGAAAAGGATTGTAGGAACTATATAGATAAAGTGCGTAAGCTTAGGTTGGGAAGTGGTGATGCGGTGGCATTACAAGACTTTTTTTGTAGAATGCAAGCGCAATGCCCCGGGATCTTCTTTATGCTTGATTTGTATGAAGACTCACGCTTACGGAATGTTTTTTGGGCGGAAAATCGATGTCGACATGCTTACAAATATTTTGGGGATGTCATTATATTTGACACAACGTATCTTATCAATCGATATGACATGCCATTTGCGCCATTTGTAGGCGTGAATCACCACTGTCAATCAATATTGTTTGGTTGTGGCCTAATCGCGAGTGAAGATATTCATACATTTGTGTGGCTTTTTAAAGCTTAGCTTGAGTGTATGGATGAGTGTTCCCCAAAGGGAATTATTACCGACCAAGATCGAGCTATGCAAAACGCCATCCAAATAGTGTTTCCGAATACGCGACACCGATGGTGTTTATGGCACATCATGAAGAAGCTACCGGAGAAGTTGGGAGGGTTTACCCATAAAGATAAAATGATGGATGGTATACGTGATGCAGTATATGACTCCCAATTCCCTGATGAGTTTGATGTCAGTTGGAAATCTCATTTGGAAAGGTGGTACACATTAGCGTGGAAATCTATTATTTATTCCCAGACACAATTTGTCTGAGCCAAACATTAGTAGTCTGGGACAATTAAGTAATTTCTATCTTACATCCAGACACATTTTGTCTGGGCCAGACATTAGTAGTCTGGGACAATTAACTAATCTCTGTCTTACAGCCAGACAAATTATGTCTGGGCCAGACATTAGGAGTCTGGGACAATTACTAATCTCTGTATTACAGCCAGACAAATTGTGTCTGGGCCAGACATTAGGAGTCTGGGACAATTACTAATCTCTGTATTACAGCCAGACAAATTACGCCTGGGCCAGACATTAGGAGTCTGGGACAATTAACTAATATCTGTCTTACAACCAGACAAATTATGTCTCGGCCAGACATTAGGCGTCTGGGACAATTAATTAATCTTTGTACCAGACATGTGTTCTGACTACGTCTTGTGTAATAATCGTAGGTATTCACTTCAAGATGACGAATGGCTTAGGGTCATGTACGATGAACGGCATAGATGAGTTCCTTGTTACTTGAAACCTACATTCTGGGCAGGAATGTCAACAACTCAACGAAGTGAGAGCATTAACGCTTTCTTCGATGCTTTTGTGCACGTACTCTAAAACAAGTCTTAAATAATTTGTGGAGCAATATGGTCGTGCCTTAAAATGTAAGGCTGAAAAAGAGTTCCATGCGGACGCTAATTCATTTATAAAAATGATACCATGTGTCACTTCTTTTGCAATGGAAAAACAAATGCAAGGATTATACACACTAGTGAAGTTCAAGGAGTTTCAAGAAGAAGTGGTTGGCAAGCTTTATTGTGACATCATTCAATGCGATGAAGGTAAAGTGTACCATGTCAAAGAAGAAAAGAAAATTACGGACGACTTTTACAAGATTGTTTATTTCATAGTGGAATTTGACTCCAGCTCTTGCACATGCAAATGTAGTTATCATTTGTTTGAATTTAGAGGCACAATGTGTAGGCATATGTTTATGGTTCTACAACGCAATGATGTCAAAATGTTTCCCGATGTGTACATATTGCCCAGATGGAGACGAGATTCAAAACGCCCTTGCACACGAGTAAAAATTAACTATGATGGGTGGATCACAACCGTAGAACAACAACGGTATGACAAGTTGTGTAAGACTTTTGAAGCTCTTGCAAATGCCATTGCCGATGAGGAGGAGAAGTATAAGAGCGTTATGCAATGGATGCAAGACCAATTGCATGAATGTCCAGTTCCATTTACAAATTATTCCATTTGTGGTGTGATGACACAACTTCCCCAAATGCATCCAAATTTAAATGCCAGTGCACCGGGTCCAACTGAAGACGCGAAGATCACAAAGAGGAAAGGTGCACCTAGGAAAAACCGCATAAAGGGTCCTCTAGAAAAGTCAAAGAAGAAACAAAAGGTTTCGTACATTTAACTACCCAATTTATTTAAAATATCATTATTTTTTGCTACGATGTTTGTTGGCAATTTGTTGTTATGTGAATGTCCTGCATTATTTTCAGGCGGTTGCAAAACAAAAAAAAAGCCTAGGAAGGACCCATGTGGAGTGCAAACAAGTGAAGCCTCTAAAGAAATTTATGGTTGGACTGTATTAACGCCCTGTATGAATGAAAAAGGGTTGAATTTGAACATCCGATTACTGTGAATTACCATTGTATGTAGTTTGAATTGAACAATTAGTTGGAATGTGCACTTACTTCTTTTGTTGAAAATTATGTACAACTATTGGGATATATTTGAATGTGTACCTAAAGTAAAAAACATCTCCAAAAAATATATATTTAAAGTATATTTCGAAGCCAACACATAGTCCAATGTTAACATATACAAACACCACATTTGTAAACGGTGCTACATATACAAACACCGCTTCATTCATTTCCTAAAGTGAGGGAGGCGCTTCGCTCGTGGGGGTGAGGAGGACAGTGGGTTGTTTTTTCATGGGTGGGTTGTGGCAGATGGGTTGTGGCAGTTGTTGTTTGGTTGTGGTAGATGGGATCCAGAGATTTCAACTTGACGGAGGTTGGACGACGGTTGGGTTGTAGGGCTGAGGACGGAGGTTGGATGGTGGTTGTGGCGGATGAGTTGGGAAGGGTTGAGGTCGGTGTGGGTGGGAGGTTTTGAAAAGTTTCTGGGGAAGGGAAAGGGTGGGAGGGCGGGAGATTTGGAAGTGGGGGTGAGGGGGAGTTTCGGCGCACATGGAGGTGAGGTGAGGGGGGTAAATTTTTGGGAAGGGTATTTCCGTATTTATATGGGGTAAGTATGGGATGGATACCTATAGCAAAATTGATTTGTTTTATGAATGTGACGATAAAATTCATCATTAGTTATAGAATCATATATATGACGTACCAATCATTTTTGTACTTCTCACATGGTTTCAAGAGTTCTGTTTTTTAATGCAACTCAACAAAGATTGTCATTGTAATACACAGCAGGTATAATAACTCTCATAAATGGCAGTTTTATTGCAATAAATATCCCTCCACTCCACACATCTTAACACCACGCAAATCATCAGCGGTTTCCATATCCAAATTTACAATGTAAAAAAACAAATGACTAAAAGCTGGAAATAGATGGTACAAAGTGCCTGAGACTGAACACTTCACTCCCAAAACTTTTCTTACACATGAAACAGATGCTGTACAGAGGTGACCTGCAATGGTAATTCCCACTTTCAAGCATTTGCCTGCTTCATCTTCCTAGTTCAAATTTTTATTTGGACTATACACACATGCAAAGAATTTCATCTCAATTTACATGGTTCCATGAATAAGATGTTTTAGGATGATGATGATGACTACATGATTGCAATGGAAATCGGGCTCTGAAGCTCTGGGCAAGGTTCAGGGAAAACATTTGAAGAAAAACCAATCACAGCATAGCATACCCATTGTGGTATGGTAGGGTCGGGCAAAACAGAAAAGAGGATATCTGAGAGGAATATCGAAGTGAAGGGTGATTCAGGTAATCCAGTGAAATTTCCAGCAATGGAGATATTTGTTCCGATTACATCCTTAAACGTGATATTACTGACTACAGGTAATGCAGTAGGGTCAAAATCATCATCTGGATGTGTATCAAAGTAAGCTGTAGCTTTCATCCCTGTCCCAACATTTTCCATTGCCACATCAGACAGAAAAATGTTCTGGATATAACCGCCCCTTCCTCTTGCAGTCTTCACTTCAATTCCCAGATGAGATTCATGAAGAAAAAGGTCCTCTAAGAGTATTTCTGAGATGCCACCGGACATTTCACTTCCGAAAGCCATGCCGGCTCCCTCTATAGACTTTAGGCGAACCTTTCGGATGTGTACATATTCAGTTGGCCTCCCATAGGAAATTCCATACTCGTCCCACCCACTTTTGAGCACAATAGCGTCCTGACCCGTGCTAATGTTGCTGCTTTCAATGCAGACATGACATGAAGAATCTGCATCAAAACTTTCATCCCTTAGTTATTACTTTGATTTCTAAAATATATCCATTCATCCATTCATCGTCATTACCCCAATGCCGCAAAGGTTCCCACCTACGGTGGGGTAAGAAGGGTCAGATGTACGCAACCTTACCCCTGTAATAAAGCACATAGACCGTTTCTGGATGATACATAGTGAAAATCGCTCCGAAAATTGCATGGACAGTTTAGTGAGTCATTATGCTTTATTCCATCATATTCCCAAACCAAAAAATAGAGTCTTTGGCTCCATTGCAAATGATGGAAATTTCTAACGTATTATTGAAAAATATATGATCATTTTAATTTCAAACGTATTATTCTAAGAGAAGTCATAGAATAATAGAAGTTTTTTGTCCACTTCATTTTGAAAAATGGCTAGTTTATTTTACTAAAATAAAAAAATGGTCACTTTTTGTCCAAACCTTTTGTAATTGCATTTTTTTATTTACATTGTTGTTATTGCTACATCATTTTTGACAGCCGCTTTGCCATTTCATCTATACTACTTTTTCTTTTTCTGTATGCCCCAAAATAATATCTACTTTCCTAATTTATCATCACTAAATTACATTTCCAGAATCACCACTTCTCTCAACTTTTTGAAAAGATCAAATTTTAGATCTTAGTAAATGTCCATAGACCAAACTACGAAGCACTCCTTGAAATGCCTAGAATTTTACATAAAGTACTACAAGGTATGCATTTCAGTTTTTTTGTTTTTGAAATTACACGTGCTATTTAGGGAAATTTTTGTGAGGCTTGCAAATGTAAATTCTGTAACATACGAAAGGACAAAAAACCTCTTAAATAGAGCACATTACATTCTGTACCTGGGACAATGCCATTGGTGTATGGTGACCTGGATGGAGAATGAACTGTTATGTTCTGAATAAGCACATTACTGCACAAAAGCAAACGATTCTATGAGACTTCGCTGAAAAGTGAAAAATGACATTTTATTGTGGAAATGCTGAAATACATGCAAATTAAATACAATACCTGCAATATGCGGGACGAATATGCCAAGCAGGAGCATTCAAAAAGGTCAAGTTTGAAATAGTAACATAAGTAGAATTAATGAATTCCACTAGATGGGGGCGACTGTAATTCAAGGCATGCTTATCAAACTGTTCCCACCACACAGAACCTTGACCGTCAATAGTTCCGTTATTGCCTGCAAAATAATTTACATGAGCAGGGTGAAATTTATGTAGAAAAGAAATTACGGGTCAATTGGCAGTTTAGATGATCCTGCTAAGTTTTGAAAAGAGAAGTCTTTACAAGAAGAATAAGCTAAAGCACTGGCTTCCAAACAGAATCTAATTGTAACTGCCTCAATATTTAAAAAAATGATGCACTTAAGCAGTTGACCACCATGGGGTGGAAGTTTCTTGCCTGTTATTACAACATCTGTTACATTTTTTCCAGTAATCAGGCTACGATATCTCCCACCAGCTACCTCAATACTTCTCCCATAAGATGGCAATGGATCAACAACATCCCAATGACTGGTTTCCTGCAGGAAGACAATCCAAGCAGAAACTTAAATTTCCTGCAAAAAGAAAACCTGTTATAACATTCAAAAAGTGAAGTCACCCTATTTATCTTTGCTGGGTGAACTAGTATTTTGTTAGGTCAGGGAAAAAATGACTTTTATACCAGAAAAAATCTGTGAAAAAAAAGGATATGATTTTAATACAAAAACATGGCTAAACTGAATAAGATATGTTTTGTTCATACCAATAAATACTAGTAAATGAAGATCTGTGAGACATTGACAAGAATGTCCCAACAAGAATGGTGCTAAGAGTTAATTTTAGATTTAAATGACTAGTGAGGAAAAAATAGTCCCCATAGATAACAGGATATACAATCTTTATCTGCATAAAGGATGAAGAAAATCGAGTTGTGAATCCTAACCTCTGATCCAAGAATAATGGCATCTTTCTCCAAGAAAAGCGTGAGGTGACTAGTAAGATCAATTGTTCTAGTTAGCCACTTGCCTGCTGGAACATAGAGCTGTGCTCCACCCTTGTCTGTGAATGACTTCAGATAAAATATTGCATTCTGAAACGCAACAGTGTTTAATGTTATCCCATCCCCCACAGCCCCAAAGTCCAATACAGACACACTGTGAGGTCTGGGCAGCAAAGCTTTACTGAAATTGCATTCTCCTTCAACTTTAGCTTCAGTGTGTTCTATGGCTTCTTCATTCAACAAAAATACCAAGAGTAGTAAAACCTGGAAAAAGGACAAGTGAGTCAAAAAAGGAAAAAGGTAAAGACAGTTGCAACATTTCAATCACCTACTTTTGAGAACTTGAGCAATGCCCACTGTTTCCATGAAATTATTTAAGATACTATTTGAACCACATGTTAAAGTACAAAACATGATTGGAAAGAAAGAATAGCTTATGGAAATAAAGATGGAAAGGGCACAAATCAGCTAACTGGCAGGATCTCATTCACCGCAACACAGGGTGAAGAAAAAGGGGAATTTAAGAAATACGGAGCAGTAAGATCCCAAAATCTTGAATCTAAGTTTTTGTTTTTCCTCCATCGGGAATCAGATGACAATGAGGATCAAATGATGCATACAGGAACGCTCAAGGGTGATAGATCAGCTCGATATCGAAATAAGTCAGAAAGGGAAGCAGTCTTTGGAGCTTGAAAGTGACAATCTCGAAAATTTGAAAGCAAAAAACGACAGTACAAACAATGTTCTTAAGTCGATTTCTAAACACGACGGCTCCAAATCTTCAAATAAGAGCAGATAAGCAATGACTTCAAACAATAAAAAGACCAGAAAACGGTAACTGAGTTACTAGCACTGAAAGAATCACATAAGCCAACGTACTTACAAGCGCCTTCATGGAGTTTGTCTCCTCTTCTTCTCCCACCGAGAAGTGAAAAAAGAGAAGAGGACAAACAGCCCACCACCTCCCTGTCCCTGCCGGAAGCTTTCAAACAACCTCAGAGCAGAGTGAGAAGAAGAAGAGAGCGTTTTGTAATTTTATGAAAATCGGTGATAACTGCTTGATTGATAATGATATGGACGAGCGAAATGGGAAGTGAGTGATTGAGTGGCAAATTGGCAATTAGGACGAAAAACCGTGCATATATTGCCAACATGATAGAAACACAAAAATGTTACTAATACAAACAAGAAGTTACGAAATGTAAACAAATAGCACCATATTTTCTCTCTCAAAATAAATTTATTGCTTTAGATTATGAGACTTTAAATTTGTGATGCATTTTTTTGACTAATCTCATGCACTTTTTATGATGACTGAAAAATTCCGATTAATTACGGAAATGTCACCGCGTCTAACATCACCTTTTTAATATTTTTTCACGTTTTCAGTTTTTAGATCTTAAATTGAACGCACCAAATGCATTCTCACTTCTTACGATAGATACTGTTCTCATTTGATCTTTATTCATTGATACATCTAACTATATGATTCAGTTTTATCCTTTCACATACTTGTTCCAACTTTGCTTGGTGTACATCAAATGTGTACATCTTTTGTGTACACATGTCTGTTTCCAGCAGACAAGTTATCTGTCCACAGACAACTCTACAAAGTTATCTGTGGACAGACAACTTGTCTGCTGGGGACATACATGTGTACACAAAAGGTGTACGGTGTACACCGAGCATTTTTCTACTTGTTCTGCCCATTCTACGACTCTCATATACGTTCACCATAAGTAAATACTTTGTCCACAAGACCACAATGTTATCATGTGCAATGTCTATTTTAGTGTTTTTTAAAATTTAGTTCATTTAACCAGTTTTTATTACATTCATACTCTTTCTTTATAATAATTTATATTACTCCCTCCGTCTCATTCAAAGGGAGCTTATTGTATCAAACCCCTCGTGAAATATAAAATCGTCGCATTAATCTCTGTGATTTAAAAAATGCGTCAAACCCCATATGTTATAATTAATCATGCGCCAAACCCCCTCCAAGAACAAATTTAATTTTCAAAAAAATGAAAAATGATTAGTTTTTTGTACAATTTAGAAATTTTGACAAAGTTACTTGCATATTCAACCATATTATTAAAAAAAAGTGATTTCAAAATTGTAAAATTTGTTCTTGAAGGGGTTTTGCGCATTATTGATTACAACACAGAGGGGTTTGACGCATTTTTTTAAATCACAGAGGTCTAATGCGCCGAATTTATATTTCACAAGGGGGTTTGATGCATTTAACCTCATTCAAAGGTTCCCGACCACTATTTACATGGTCAACTTAAATCATTCTTAATCTTTTGCTTTGTATATCAAATTTTTATCAAATTTACATTATATCGGGCTTTGTAGCGGTTTTAATGTAATTTCTGAATATGTAAATTTTATTTACTAAAAATAATCAGAGTGTGAGCAGATATTAAGTTATTTTATCGTCAGTCAAACATCATAAACCGTAATTGGAACCTCCTAATGGCATGGAGAGAGAATAATTTTTGCTATGTTTTCCCTTATTTTTGGTGTTTGTCATAAGCTATTTTTTTTTTCATTTTAAAAACTGATTAACAGATACGAGCACATTATTAGTCAAGTTATATTATTTTTAAAGCATGCCAAAAATTAATTAAAAATTGATGGACACTTCAATCTTTCGTGCATTATAAAACACTAAAAAACGAATCAATTGTTTGGTTGCGCATGCATGAGCTCATTAATTCACAAAAGAACTATACCACAGCGCGCCAAGGATGTTTTTCCTTGAACTATTTTCAGTCCCATACCAGATTAGATCAGACCAGACTTAAATAGACCATACTAGATTTAAACATATTAGACCAGACTTGACTTTTATAGTTATAAAATACACAGAGACCAGACGTTTACCGGACCATACTTAAATAGACCAGACCAGACTTAAACAGACCAGACCAGACCAGCAAATTACAGTCCAAGTAAAAACATCCTAGATGCAGTTGTGAAATTTATTTCTCATACTCCCTACGTCCCTAAAAAGATCGCAAAGTTTGACCGACACGTAGAATAATAAAGTAAAAACTATGTAGTAGAGATTTGTGAAGAGGAAAGAGAAACAACAGGAACCACAAATTGATTGATTAAAAGGAAAAGTGTCAAAGTTTTTGGGACAACCAAAAAAAGAAAGTTAGCAAAGTTATAAGGGACAGGGGGAGTATAACTTTCCACCAAACACCTTCACCTTGCACCAACACTATATCGCTTAATCCCATCAAGCACCTTCAACTTGCACTAACACTATGTCGTTTAGTCTCATCGCTCATTCACCTATGTAAATTGGACTTTAATCAGAAGCTGGCAGATAGAGAATATGGCTCTGACCTTGGTACTTGCAGAAATCATATGCATTTTAGCATAGTAACCTCTTATCGCAGTTGCCGAGATTCGAACCCGAGACTTACCCCTTGTGACATTCACTATCTACCAATTGAGCTACATCCACCGGTATCTTTAAATTTTATAAATATGGGTAATCGTGAGTGACATGTAGAATTCGGGAAACCCCTCTTAGTTGTATACAAAATAATGCCACGCCTCTTAACATTGCACATGATCTCATCCGATTTAAACAATGTGTCAAACCCCCTTTGACAATTGATAAGGATGATGAAGCTCGAATTACCATAGAAGAGGTCGGTAAAGGTCCAAAAAACAATGTGTCAACCCCCTCTTAGTCGTATTTTATAAAAAATTCCAGAGTATAGCAAGTTTCTGGTTTAAAAAAAAGGTCGGTGAAGGTCCAAAATCGACATCGGGGCTGTACTCGTGGAGAATCACCACCAAATTAATGATCCAGTTCGAAGAATAAATAGTTTGAAAAACTGAAACCAAAACAACTCAATTGGATAAATAGAACTTTGGTATTTTGAAATAATTTTAAATTTTTAAATAATTTTAAATATATTCCCCTTTATTAGTGATGATAAAGAAGATGAAAGAGTATAGACAGGGGCGGATCCAGGAAATTTGACGAATGGGGCGAAATCGTAAAATTTTATACGACCATACGGAGTATTACAAAATGTAGCATATATTTGCTAAAATATGTTTAGATTACCAAATGCATAATATTTCACATAACTTCAACAAAAAAGAACAACAAAATAGGAATTTTCATTCAACCCCTTCTATGTATGAAAGTTGGACATTCTAAACTGAACTCTACGATTTTTTAAAAGATCAAAGTCACCAATGATAGAATCTGTTGAAAATCCCTTGAGCTATATCTCTCTCTATATATGTCACCAGGTAGTTTGAAAGAAAGTCATCCTCCATTTTATTTCGGAGGCAAGTCTTCACAATTTTCATTAGTGAAAATGCTCTTTCTGTGGTTGCCGTTGAAACTGGAAGAGTTAGTAAGAGACAGATTATCCTATCAACAAGAGGATAAATTGTTGACTTCCGAGTCTTCGTCATTAATTCACACAATTCCTCTAGTGTTGATGTTTTCTTCAACTCTAGATTTTGTTGAGCATCAAATTTGAAATGCTCCAGCTGAATCCTTAAGTGTTCCTTTTCCATTGTAGAGAAGTCATCAGGATAAAACTTGTTCACAAGTTTGCATATATCTTCAACCTGAAAAGACTTATAATAATCTCTTGGATCCAAAGCAAGAGATGACGACCATGACGACCAAATGGCTTATTGAATAGAAAGCATGGTAAACAATAAGCAGCATTCTTGCTGGGTGAAAACTCTAGCCAACCTGGAAATAACTTATACCAAGACGGGAGAAATCGTCGTCCATTCTTATCAACATAATTAGAAAATTTTGGGGGAATGGGTTGATATGACCCAAATTGAATATAAGCTCGGCAAACATCTTCTTATTCATTAGAATTGTAATCCCAAATTAATTTTCGAAGTCCAAGATCATGCTCCAAACTAGAAATATTAAAGTCTCTAATTTCAACTCTAGGGGTCTTAGATGGGCGCTCACACACTTGTGAAAAAGCAATGCCAACTTCTTCATCATTAAGATCTTGTGGCGGTTGTGACACTAAAGTCGGCGGGTCATTACTTCTTAAAGGTCTCTTGAAATATGAATCAATCCTTTTATTATTCATAACTGAGAATATAAAAAGAAAAACCTTAGTGGCTTAGTCACTTAGACATTTGAAATAAGTCAAATAAATTCACAATTTCACAAATAATTTAAATAACCTAATTCAAATAGAAGTATATATATGACCAATAATTTCATAAATTAACAATTTTACTAAAAACAATATAATATATGAACTTTAAGACAAACAAACAAACCTGCTAAGTGCTAAAGCTCAAACTGAAGAAAAGTAGCAAGCAAGGAGTTTTCCCTTGGATTTTGATTTTTAAACTTTGAAGGTAGAAGCAGCAACCAGGCGGAGCAAGAACAACCATACAACTACCCTAAGAATACAAGTATTAAAGAAAATTTGGTTGAATCACACCTTAAGAATACTATTGAATCATTTTTAAAAATTATTAAGGAGAATATGAGATTATGCTTTGTTTAATGAAATGCTTTGTGATCTTGTCTTTTTTCTTCTTATGTGTTTCACTTTTATGAAGCTTTCAAGAAGGAAAGGTGAACCAGGATCATCATCACCATTACAGAGATCCAAAACAAGAAATTCTCTTGTATCAACTAATTCTCTGGAGGATTCTAAGTCACATAAATTAAGTGATGGTCAGTTGAAAAATAACCAGTTAACAAAATCAGCATTATCATGGTATTATTATTATCCCATAAGGAAAGCATCTTGATTATTTTTGTAGGATATCCTCTATGTTTAGTTTATGATGACCTCAATAAATGTACTAGGTCTGGGTTTACTCGTTTGTTTCTATGCATGAATTCATTTACTTGGTACATGACATATGAGAGGAAAAATCATTTATGAATCTAGAATATAGCTCCAATAACATTTCTAAGTCTGGTTTTCACTTCATTGTTTCTTTGCAAGATTCAACCACTGCATGTTGACTGCAGGGAAGAGCATTGACAAACAGAACTAATTCAGGATGCCTTAGCAAAAGATCGAGTTAAGTTAAGGAGACCCTTCCACTGCATGTGATAAAACTC